TATGAGGTGTCGGACTTATGGGCCTTTATTTGGTTAGGGGATGCGATTTTGTTGGACTTGTGAGGCGTCGGACCTTTGAGGCGTCAGACTTATGAGCGGACCCCGACGTACGGACCCAATACATTGTGCAAACGTTTTCTCTGCTTCACAAAAAAAATGTGTAGCAGCCACTGAGCTCGGGCTTTAACAAGTTAGTTTCTATATGCACTCTGCTTAAGATTTTAAACAATGTTGCTTCGATCTTCAAAATAACTTCTGAAATGCCAAAGGAATGAATTATTTTTTTTTGGAGTTGGCTTACTTTGCATAGGCCTTCTCAAGCAGCGCGCTCCAGAACTCATTTGTGTGCTTGGATCGCACATTGATCAGCTCCTTGTTCTTGTTGGTCGGCAGTCTGTCGTCAATGACCACGTCGTGCCACTGATTGAATCGCCAGAAGCGGAAATGAAAGGCTCCGGAGTGCTTCTCTGGATTCTCATCGTCCCAATCCTGCTCCTTGTAGTCGGGTACTACCTTGAGAAAACAAATGCAAGCAATACGAGAACAAAAATTACAATGTGGTGCTTATCAAGTGCTTACACACATACCAAAGTCTCGAAGCACTTTACATTATTAACCCTGTTCACTGGGCCATGAGATGTTTCTCAAGCTCCAGATCAGCACAATCTGGTCTCTATACCCCATCACAGGTACCAATGTATACTTCTGGGTAGTGAGGTGATTGTAGTAAAGTGCCTTGCCCAAGAACACAAGCACCATATATAATCTGCTCTCTACCCTCAAAGGTATCCTTTTTACACTCCTGGATGGGGAAAGACAATTGTAGTGAAGTGTCTTGCTCAAGAACACAAGCGCCATATAACCTGATCTCTTCTCTGTCTCACAGGTATCCATTTCTACTCCTACATGTTGGTGGAGAGAGACAATTAATTGGAGTTTAACTGTCAAGTACAAGAACACAAGCACCATGGTCTCTACCCTCACTCCTTGGTGGAGTGAGACACTTGTAGTAAAGTGTCTTGCCCAAGAACACAAGCACCATATATAATCTGCTCTTTACCCGCACATATATACTCCTGAATGGAAAGAGAAAATTGTAGTAAAGTGTCTTGCCCAAGAACACAAGCACCATTTAAAATCTGCTCTCTACCCTCACAGGTATACTCCTGAATGGAAAGAGAAAATTGTAGTTAAGTGTCTTGCCCAAGAACACAAGCGCCACATAATCTGGTCTCCTACAAATTTCTTTCTCTTGGGCACTGAAAATACAATGCTTACAATTATATGTATGTCTATGACGGGCAAAGCCTGTATTAATAACTCCCTAGGCATTTTTGCTAGGATGTAACCTCAATCCTGCAAAATCCTCCAACTGCCTCCATGTAAAAAGAGTATACAACCTCCATCCAGCAAAATACTCCGTGTTTTTCAGAATGGTCCTTGGAGGGGTGAATACTGCCTCAATCCTGCCAAATCATCCAGCAACCACTGTCAATATGTTGAAGCAGAGCCAGTGACATCCTGGAGCGTTGCGGAGGATTTGAAGTATAACATAGGCACGGCTGAGCATAAACAACAAAAGGCATATTGGGATGTTTACCTTTTCCCACAATTCTTTCTCCTGGGCCAAGTTAGCGCAGGCGGCTACGAACCAACAGTTGCCCAGCCCACCTTGCGATACATCCCCGGTGCTTGTCCCTTCCACGACAAGGTGGGGGTTGGGACAAATCTCCTGAAAACAAAGAAAAAAACCATGAACATTTCGTGTGTTCACCATTTCAGTAAACAGGGTTTAAAGTTGCATTCTCCGTGCTCTTCAACAAATTCCCCAAAAAAATTAATTATAAATTTTCAACTTATAGGTTTCATTCCAACAAAAAAAACCTGCCACTCCCTAAATGAAAGATTTTTGTTTGGGGCTCGAACAGATTTGTAAGCAGACTGGTTCCGAATCTGGGGTTTTTTTTTCAGTCCATGTCTTATTCAAAAGTGAATAACTTTTGTATCGCCAGAAAAAAATAGTAATTTAGAAAAGAATTTTTTTTTTTGTGGGATGAAATTCAAAAATAGCAGAGGGAGTGCATCTTTAAGCCAGCATCCCCTGATGACTTGGAACACTGACCAATGAAGTCAGCATGTTATGCTCATGAATATGCATGAGATCCAGAGGAGTTGAAATGTGCATATATTACTCACTGTAGGTCTCTTCCATTCCCGCCAAGGGGATGGCTGGTTGTTCACCGAGGCATCAGTTGCAGGGAACTCGGGGTCTTCCCATAGTGTACCACTGGCCAAGCATCCCTCGACTATGTCAGCATACCTCTGTCCCTTGAATGGAACCACTTCTTCCACCATGATTTAAGCTGTGGAGATAACATAATTTTTTATGTGAAGTTACAGTCAAAATAATCAGAATTGACTTAAAACCTCCCTCTTTGGCTGGCAATTTCAACAAGGCCAGCCCAGTATAATCAAAGTAAATCTGGTGATATGATGAGTGCTCCCTGCCTTCGTAAAGCAGGATTGACTGGCTGTGACTGTTATGAAACCTCATCTACATTTGTATGCTTTGACTCTGGGAGATTGATAAGCCAGCTTTGCCCTCCAACCTATACTTATGTCTGTTGATGGAATTTGACTGTCACATACATTTTCTGCCTACACGAAATATAACTAGACTACTGTTGGTGATATCATGCGTAAAACAAAGGGTTGGCAGGAGAACATTTTGACTGTCTGTGACTCCTCAAACAAAAGGAGGGTTTGAATGGAGAGAAATATTATGCAGTGCATCTGTTGCAAACTCATTATTTCAAACAATCTAAATTTTTGTAGTTCTCGTGCACGTGATGATCAATGCACGCAAGGGCGTTCACATGTACGTCTCAACTGGCACATACAATTTCCGACTGGCGCATAGAGTTTAAGGCTGGCACATTTGGTGCGTTTTGAATACAGTTAACTCTCCTGAATAGTTAATACAAACTCAGCCAAAACTAGCAAAAATGTGTGTTATAAACTTTGGATGCATCGTTCCATTCATTGTGAAATGCACATATAATCGAGACCAATTAAGGTTTACCAGAATTTGTACTAACAGAGTTTATAAAGGAGTCGATTGTATCCAAATATTCAATTACATTGTACTTCCAAGTTTGAATAAGCCCTAAACACTGTACAAGTACATCACTGGATGATGCTGGATTTGAAATGCTACACAATGATTAGTATTGTGCATGAGGATTGTACAAAAATGTGAAGAGAATATGCTTACATGTACAACAACGGGTGTCAGACGAGTACGAACACATCACATCACGCGATCAGATCCACAAAATGTTAATGAACTTTTCAGGTTTCAGTCACTGTGAACATTTTTGATCAGTTTTCAGAAACATACAACCAAACACACAGGAAATACAGGAAACTATGGTCGAACTTCCTGTTGGGAACGGTGGACAGGGTAGCCACAGAATCAATGAGGAAGTGATATTCTACCCAACATTTCCTTTTATGTAGACCTGGCATACAGAAAGCTCAGAACAGATCACATTGGAGAGCCTTTTTTCATGGAACCGACGTTCCGCAAGGGATCGGGTGAAGAAGATGCCATGAATTCAAAGAAATGTTGTCACTGAACCATTTCCTTCAACCTGTGGATTGTTCGCTGAAAATGGCACTTTCTAACCACTTCCTGACACTGGTGCAGTGACAACTTTATTTTTACACACTGTTCCTCATTGTCACCTCCTAACTGTTGAACAATATGTCCCATTCCCCAAAGGTGAAACTAATGGGACTTAATTTTTGAGCCCCGGCATGAATGGGAGCAATAACGAATGTCACGTGATATGAGTTCCACCAATCAAATGACAAGGATCTGTAGGTCAGTTACAGGTTACACCTGTTATCTTGAACAAGTGTGTCAGCCTCATCTCTATTGCCAAATTAACCACCCCAACGGAGTCGCTATGTATATGAGCATGCAGGTCTCACATACTCAAAAGATATAGTCTTGTGCCAGTTTAATATCCTCTCACATTAACTCAACCACTGCTCTACCCATCACAATCGCCGGCAACCAACTCGCATCTTTGCATTATGTACTTGGATCCATCCTTAACTATATTAAGTACTCCTGTTTGTAACCCGTGATCCTGACGACGAGATAGATCCAGAATAGGATTTTTCAAAAAGGCTTCCATTGCTTTTGTCGTCTGAAAACTCGTCTTCTCCAAAAGAGATGAATTGAAAGCTTGCCACCAAGATTCAGGTTGAACAGGCTGTATCTCCAAGTCCAAGCGGCTTATACTAGTGAGATATATTTGAGATGCCTTGAGCATGTCGAGGCATTTCGCATGCTGCCTTCACCAGGAATCACATGGAAGGACAAGGTTACACTTAAATCTGCACCAACGAATACCAACTGCCCCAGCTTGGAGTCATGCAATCATCACCATCAAAACAGTACGGTACCGCAGATTGGGCACACACCATCTGACCATGCAAATGTCTTCCACGCAAAGCTTGAAATTTACAGTGGAGTATACATGAGGTAGGCGATGTAAACACCAAGGCAAGGGATCACATCTGCGAAATGTACCATATCCCCAATATTAGCTGTAAAACTTAGACTCGCACTATGCTCGATGGCAGGCCTGCATTTGGGTCCCCTTTATGGCGAGCAATAGCCCCCCCCCCCCCCCCCTCCCCATTGCGCTGGACTGTCGAGTCCAATTACACACACGTGGATGGCTCTGTGTACGTGTGCTTCTGAGAGTTTTCGCCGAGATCTCATCAACGGGCCCACAGACAAAACTTTCTTTTTCCATCGCAGACATGGGAATAGAACAAGGTGTTTGTCGTAAATAACGACACAAAACGAACGATCGAGTCCATCTCGAGTCTACTCTCTAGCTTCGCATATTCATTCAGCGCGCTGCATGCAGACGACGTACACATCAGCGCTGCATTATGCGGTCAACTACCGCAAGAGGGCGCTACATAACATTTACGGAAGTACAGCATGCAACACAAACACACGGAACACACGCGTCGCGCTCGAACTTGAAAGAAATGGCTGTCGTGCAGGAGCAGACGAAACGCGAGTCAGGTAAACGTATAGCCAACCATTAGTGGGGCATTCCAAAATAGGCATTTTTACACATAGCTAAAGACAAAGTTGCCGAAATTTAAAGAAGTGTAGTTCTACTTCTCTAGTAGCTGGAGTTACCCAGCCCTGAGTTTTATCATTGGGTTGTCATCTAGATGACAACCCAATGATAAACTCAGGGCTGGGTAACTCCAGCTACTTCTCTAGGGCTAGGCCTTTTAATTTTATTTAGCCGGCGGCTTGCTAGATTGTTGTACAGCGCCCTCTTGAGACTTGAGGCTCTTCGTGTATTTTTGTTATTGTTTGTTGTTACAATTATCGATGTATTACAAAAAAATAATTAAATAAATGAAATGAACAAAATGTTCGTGCGGATACGTATCCGGTTCGTCATGTTCGTTTGTGGTAAAAATGTCACACACGCGAGCACTTACTTAGCACTGACTACGCTCGAGTTGCGTTAACTTCTGGTTCCATTTGTGCTATTGCCTTGGGATTGCAGTTTTGCATGATACACCTTGTGAAGTGTACTGTGCATGGTTGAATTGAGATGACATCGCATCATGGATGATGGACGGGTGATGGAGGAATAAGTACACGACAAACAGGATAGGCATGAATTGATACTTGATTATTGATAGGCATAAAAGGGGGAACCATGGTCGAATCCCCCCATGGTCCATGCCATGGCAAAGGTAGTAGGCCTAGAGTTTTATTTAAAAAAAAAAAAAACTACAGCTACAGGGCGCACTCCCCGTACGTACTGATGTAGTCCGAAAATTTGGGACTCTCAATACTGTGTATGAGAGTCCCAAAACTTAAGGCATCCATATTGTGCAAAAGTTTGTGCTGCATAATAAAACCAGTGTGAATCAAATGTGCAAGCTTCTTACTCACTACAGTTTCTTCAATAATCCCCAAACTTCTGCCCTGCAAAGTTGCTGTTGTGAGCATTGCATCACCAAAAATTCAGCGTTTATTTCTAATTTTGCAGGGAGTTATCGAAATCCAAACGCGAAACATCACGTTGATGTGTACTGCAATGCATTGTGCAAAAAGACTCCTCAGCTAAAACATTTTCATCGTGTAGATAAAACAGCGCCCTCTTGTTGATCTGAGTGAATGCAGAATGTTTCATTTTTTAACAGAGGGCGCTATGTTCATTTGGCCATCGATTAAAAAACAAGTAAGCTGCAAGGCTCTTCCTACACCTACCCAGAATACCTTGGGAAACACACCACCATTTCTAAAGCATGGAGAATGACGTGGATGGTTTTTGAACTGTCAAAAACTTGCCTTAAAATTGGATTTAAGGTCTCAAATTTTGCAGGTGACATGCTTGCAACTTAAGCATTTTGATGTATGTGTTGTGTGGGCATTAATTAGCTGAATGGTGAGTAAAAAAAACGTCAGTAGTAATTTTGCACGTTTTTATGCACTCACGGTCCCAGTCTGGTACTGATGCTGACATGGACATTTTGTTGTTCCATGGCACTTCAGATTATTATTTACATTTTTTTGTTTAATTTTGGGTCATTTACAATATTTGCTACTGCTGAACTTATTTTGCTGCCTATGAACTTATTAATCCTTACAGGGCGTATCAAAGATGTTAACCAGAAGAGAGTTCTCGATAGTTACACCCGTGCCAAGCGGTTGCGCAAACAGCTGGAGGCTCTGGAACAGGACAACTTCCAGGAGGATCCCCAGGCCAACCTTGTCATCCCTAACAAGAGACTGCCACAGTTCGATTCCAATGAAGGGAGTAAGTTATTCCCTGTTTAGCCCTTTTCACACTAGACAAATTGTCGGGTTGACGCGGGGTTGACACAAGGTTGAAAACATGCAGCGTTTCACAGTTAAAAATGTTCAACCCTGCGTCAATCCTGAGATTGGTTACCCCGGGTTGAACTCAACCCTGCTCCAGACCAGGGTTGAGATTTTCAACCCGGGTTGAAACTCTCGCCAGGGTTCAAAACACTTAACTTTCCAGCATATCGGGCCGATACGCACGTTTGTACGTGGGGAGAACCCTGTTGAGTCATAAAATTCAGTGACTCGTTACAACACTTAATAAACAATGAATACCATTCAGAAGTATATTTATGATTATACATTTTAATCACGTCTTCTACCAGTAACTAACGGTTGACTGTCTTGCCTTTAAACTTTCTTACAGCCCCGCCAAAAAGAAGAAAAAGACCCGCGGGGATCATTTCAAGCAGCGTTTCCGGAAGACCTTCAACATGTTAGTTGAGGAAGAGCAGCTCAGCATGCAAGAGCCACCTAACTACCTGACGGCCTGCATCCCACCGTCCAAAACGCCTGATAGAAAGTTCTGTGCTGTGTGTGGATATCCTTTATAAACAAGTAAATGCATACTTGGGCTAGCGCTGTGCATTTTCGAATAACATAGTATTCGAGCATGAAAGTTTGTTTCCAGTCTCAACCCTAACCCCCTAGTAGTTCCTCAGGGCTACCCTTCTAAATCCAACAGAGGCCAACCAGAGTTTCTGCTGCTCAATCCACTGTGCCTTTTTTTTCAGTTGTCTGCTGAATCCAACGGAGTCCAACTTGGCGTTATAATGCGGTTCAGTTGCCTGCTGAATCCAACATTTGGCATCAGGAATGTACACAGGGGGTTTACTGCTCAATCCAACAGGCTCCATCGGGTATATGATATAGTTGGATCCTGTTGGATTCAGCAGGGTTAGGGATAAATATTGAATCAAGTAAATGGAAAGATACTTTTTGGGACCTAAAATTATAGAGCTCGTATCAGGAGCTTGCGACACCGTCACAGTGTCTTTATCAACTGGCGTTGTTGAGGCCCTCACGTGACCTGTCACGCGACTATGCTTGGTCACACGACAGGAGGCGGTCGTACACGTGGGCCAGCTCGTATCCTCCTTCTCTGTTCATATGGGGGCAGTGCCTGCAGATTTCTACTGTCTTATAGATTTTACGTTTCCAGAGGTCATCCTTTGTGGCGATGATCTTAACATTGTCCACGTAGATGTTGTGTCCTGGGGTGGATATGTGTTCACCACCTGCTGTCAGGGGAGCTGACCTACTGGCATGTTCACTGTAGTGGGCCTGCAGAGTGCGAGCAGTTTTTCCGATGTAAGTGTCCAGGTTCGAACCTAGTTTAAGTCTATGGACAGCAAGGGGATATGATGTGCGAGCAGATTTGGCAAAATGCAAAACAGGACTGCGTTTTGACCTCAAGATTCTGACATTCAGCAGACGCCTTCTATATCGGGTCTTCCGTAACCCATTGTTGTATTACAAAAACATGGCAGCCAATTTGACCAATCAACAGCTTAGTCCATATTTCTGATTGAAATGATGTCACAGTTTCTAAACTTGATTGGCTGGTGCGTGGGGTCGCATAAAATTTGCATTGCTCTCACAGATCAGACGTTTGACAACGGGTGATGCTCGGATTTGTTTGAACCCTGCTCCAGTCAAATTTCTTTGTTCAACTCTAAACTTAAAGAGGTTGTGGAATGCTCGAAGACATTTCCGTCATTTTTTCGGGTATATGTAGCCTAAGGTGTGATGAAATAAAAACGACTATTGTTTCTGTCATAAAATGAGTACAAAAGGTACTATTGAGAGCTGTTTTTCAAGTCCTGTCATGCCTGTTTTCGACCCGAACGTGCAATTTGTGTAAAAGTCGTCGTTGCGGGCAGCAAACAAAACACAGTAAATCGTGACGTAATAAACAGGACTCCCGATGCAGAGTAGCATAAACGAGTCCTGTTTATTACGTCACGATTTACTGTGTTTTGTTTGCTGCCCGCAACGACGACTTTTACACAAAGTGCACGTTCGGGTCGAAACAGGACCTGAAAAATAACTCTCAAAAGTACCCTTTGTACTCATTTTATGACAGAAACAATAGTCGTTTTTATTTCATCACACCTTAGGCTACATATACCCAAAAAATGACGGAAATGTCTTCGAGCATTCCACAACCTCTTTAATTATTAATCCCGAGTATATAATGGAGAATATTTTTGAATTGCTGATTATTGATACCTTAATGTAGCTTTGCACATTCCCATCTAACTACACCTGCGTGAGCTGTGGGGCTAGATACTGCTGCGTCAAGTGCCTGGGTACCCATCAAGATACAAGGTATGGACCATAGATATTCATGCTAAGTATTTTTTTTATTCGACTCGGATAGATTAGCTAAGTATACTTGAGGACAAGACGATACTGAAGTAACATGAGCGTCACCAGAAAAGTTTAAAAGGTGGGGGGATGTTGGAGGGGGGGGATTGGTTGTTGTGACAACAGGTTTGTCGAAAGACCACTCCATGCTGGAAGGTACCGGGAACAGGCTGGGAGGGTCGCTAGACACCATCTGACAAATGGGGCTGCTGTTCAAAAGTGGACAAGCCTGGACACTATTTGGTTAATAGACGGCGCTATTACTTGCCACATATGCTGACAGAAAATAAAGGGGGGGGGGGAGGGTAGGGATGTGCATCTGAACCGGGTTCCCGACTGCTGATGTCAGGAACCGGTTCCAGATTTTGGGATCAGGTACCCGTAACCAACTTTACGAAGTACTTGGTTACTTCTCAGACAATGAAAAAGAAATGTTTTGAATGCCATTTTGGGGAATTTTTAAAATGAGAACTAGGCTATATTAAAATGTTCTTGTGCAATTTAATGTGTAACAGATGATGCTTGCGAAAGTTGTAGTTTACATCGTAAAGCAATAAAGCCCTTCAGACAACTGTCGGCATTTGAATTTTGGGGTAGGGATTATTTTACGGGTACCTATGTTTTACTTCAGTAGGGTAACCGGTTCCCATACAACCCGTGGGGGGGGGGGGGGGGGGGGAGGGGTGACTCCTGTTCCAGTAGTGACACCGTTGTTCAAGGCTTGTGTTCCGAGGTCACGCTGGACTAAATCATTCGGAGATTAGAATCAAGTTCAGTCTTTAAAATAATTAGGAGCAACAACACGCAGTAGATTGACTGTTGTAGTTGTTGAAATGACCAGAGAGTCCAGTCAGCTAGAAAAAGTTAAACATAAGCAGATTTCTTATACCAAGCTGAAAACTAAATTCTTTTTTCAGTTGGCTTGTATCACTTTCAATCATGTAAATTAAGTTTGGTTTGCGTGACTCAATACCAGCTTGAAACATGAAGTGGTATTTAATCCTATCCAAAAACAAAGTAAGAAATGTTGCACCTGTGAAATCTGTAATCTTTTGATCAGTCATCTAATAGCATTATTTTAAAGGGACACTAGGTCTTGGAACATCCCAATTGGGCTACAAAACGCGCTTTAAACAAGATGATAATAATTGGAAATAACATTTAAAAGTAGGATATAAACATCCACACAACTATCCTTTCAAAACTGTTTTTGTGTGTGTTATTCCTGTATTATGCTTGCGAGAATGAATTTCGGGGTCCACTTTTGCGACCCCATAAATTCGAGCTGTTTGGATCATGCTAGTTGTGATTTCATTCGTATCGAGTTTGCCTTTTGCGGACGTTGAAGAAACCACATGGTTTTTTGCATTGGTGATTGGTCACTGCGCGGCTGTTCCCAAGACACACAACGTTTTTCGTTCACTGAGAATGACACGAAAAACGTATTCGTACTCCATCATGTCCCATGTAACAAGCGGGGTATTTTCGTCTTTTCTCGGGAACGGTAAGACATTAGGTTGGTTTCCTGTCAACCAGATGTTGGAAATAGGCCAAGTAAACAATCCAAAACATAAAACTTTCGAGGATTTCAGGACCTAGTGCCCTTTAACACACTTTTTTGCCTATTTAACTCACAAATTAATTTTTATTTTCTCCAGATGTTTGAAGTGGACTGTATGAAATATGACCAAACAGTCATGTAGGGCCAAACATCATCATGCCTTCTACCATGATTTGCTGTCGACATCCAAACTCCAGCTTACTTCAGTTGGATGCAAGGGCTCCTGTACAAAATCGTGGACCAAGAACCAGCTACTTCATGGACTGTACGTGATAGTTTTGTACACAGCAAGGCTTGTGCGGTATTAGATTTTGAGGGTCCCATATGTTGCCCCAAATGAGTATATCATCAAAAAACTACCGCGGTATTCGGTATTACTCCGTACTTTTTTGGGAAGACTGTTATGCTATCAAAATAAAATAAGACACGATATGAAAGGGAAACCGCACACAGCTGGCATCACTAGAACTACATCAGAGGCCTGTGGGATGCAAAAGTATCCAGAAGTAAGCAAAAGTATTGGTTATAAGTCCAGTTCCAGAATTTTGACTTATCTGGATAGCGTGACCTTAAGAATGTGAACAATTATTCATATAGTGCGCTTCCAGTCATCTGCCAACATTATAGAAATATTGTGGTATTGAAATTCTATCCGTCTTTTTCAGTATTTTGGTACATTTTGGTATTATAACATCAAAAAATATCAAAATGACATCAGCACTATCAGTACACGTACTATTGAAATATATCCAAGCCGGACAGATGATGGCCCTTCATCAGAACAAATTGTGAAATTGAAGCAATACCAGTAAAAGAATCAAACAGTAATTTTACAGAAAAATACCCTTTTATTTCCGCATCAAATTAAAAATAAACAGTAGAAATTTTACACCATTCAAGATTACAAATTTACAAATTATACCTCAACCTTTGCTGAAATGTAAATATTGTTACAAGATGTATAAAAAAAAACATTGAAAGGCACATGCCTTAATCAAGCAATTTCAGTTTGTTTATATGTGTCATTTTTTTTAATAGACGAGTCTTGTTGGTGACCACACACCTATGGATCATTACAGATTTGGCGATTACATCTTCAAATTAGGTTTTGCCCTTCACCGACGTATTAATACTGTATACTCGGTGTGTTACCTCCCGAGTGAAAGTTGGAAAAACGCACTTGACGTTTAAACCATCAGCCGTGCCTGTGTATACACGTCATCCGACGCGAACTGGTTAAACTAAAGGTCCTTTTCTTTCTGAATACCAAATTCACAATAGTTATGGAATAAGTCATCTTTACAGTTTTGAGTTATTTACAATAATTTAGTTCTGACAAAGCAGACTGGTTCCGGCCCCCGCCCCTTTTAGAATTGATAATGTAGGGACTCGGAACCAGCCTGTTTATGGAACGCAACTGTTTGTATTCCAATGCAGCCCAAACAAAAGCCCCTTACCGAGGGTTGGAGATGTCTTAAATTGAAATAAAACATACAAGATGGAAATTCGTTTATGTTGAAGAGCACAAACAGTCCTGCTTTAAAATATAAAATCATTTGGAATGAATACATTGTATCACTCATACAGCGGCGTTATCATTGTACGGTGGCAGTCCCCATTCCTCTGGAACGAAGACCTCCAACGAAGGCAGAATCAAGTTGGCACCCTTGGCTAGTGATTGATCTAATCTTGGATCGGGTACAAGAATGACACTCATGCCGGCAGCATGTGCAGATAATACGCCGTTGATTGCATCTTCAAAGACGAGGACCTGAAATAATACAAAGAGGTGTGAATTTCAGACACGTGCACTTCCTAGAAAGGAAAGGAAAAATGGCCTAGTGGTTGGGGTCCGTTGCCCAGTGGTCTGGAGCATTGAATTTGTGGTTTGCGGGTAATCCTGAAGGTTGTGGGTTCGAGTCCAGCCTGGGGTTATGGTGCATGTGCCCTTGGGCAAAGGCACTTTGTCACTCATTGTTTCTCTCCACCAACCAGGAGTGAATGAGTCCTGTGAGGGCCGAGATGATCATTGTGATAGATTTTATAGATGCTTTGCGCTGTTCGTGCTGAATGGCAGTATCAAGCTGTATACTCCCTAGGGAGCTGAGATTGTCTTTGGAATGTTTAATTGGCCCAATGAGCAGGGTGATAATGATGTAGAACCTTCAGCACCAATACTGATGGATACAGGAGCTTATTACTCATGATCAGAGGGTCAGGGTTTCAAATGCAGCTGCTGGCAATAAGTTGTGTCCTTGGGCAAGCCACTTCACCCCGGCTTACCTTTCTGCATCCAGGCTTACATGTACTAACAGGCACCGGCATTAGCTGGGGAGTCACTTGTGACGGGCTGGCATCCCATCCAGGGGAAATAGACATATGCTTATATATGGTTGTTTCATGTCAAGGAAACTGGAGATAAATGCTGGCCTGATGATGGGCCATATTGGCTTGTGACAGACTTTACAAGACAAAATTACTGCAAGTTATCTAACAACCAGACATCATCCAGGAAAACTCATTTAAACAACTTGGTTCACACAGAATACAATCACCTCGGTAGCATAAAATGGTACGACAGTAGAGCGCGTAATGAATGCATGACTATGACGTCACTAGAAGCTCATGTGTAATATATCACGCACGGTACTGATAGATGCAGATGCACACTGTATGTGCTGCATCCCACCGATGATATCACATTTAACAAGTCCTCTTTCTCTACTGTCGCACCGCCACCCTCTAGTGTCGTCCCACTTACCGATGATATCACATTTAACAAGTCCTCTTTCTACTGTCGCGCCGCCACCCTCTACTGTTGCCCCCACTTACCGATGATCAAGTGGGGCGACACGAGAGGGTGGCGGCGCGACAGTAAAAAGAGGACTTGTTAAATGTGATATCATCGGTAAGTGGGACGACACTAGAGGGTGGCGGCGCGACAGTAGAAAGAGGACTTGTTAAATGTGATATCGGTAAGTGGGATGCAGCACATACAGTGTGCATCAGTACCGTGCGTGATATATTACTCATGAGCTTCTAGTGACGTCATAGTCATGCATATTCATTACGCGCTCTACTGTCGTACCATTTTATGCTACCAATCACCTCATGTAACTCAGATACATGCATGATGTCATTGCATTCGCCTGGGCTAGGGATACTAATAAAAACAGACCCTTCCTAATAATCAGATGAAAATTAGATTATCTTTGTCCTAAGCTGATCCAAACAGTTCAAGTAGGCCTATACAGGTTTTTCAATGATAAAGATGACCTCTGAACAATTTTAGGAGAGTTTTGCAAAACGTTCACCAAAGTCAACTTAGTCCCATTTGTAATCTTTACTTGCACCTACTTTCTCAGGATGGGGTGCATCTGCCCCAACCGCTGGCTGCAATCAGGTACGGATCTGGTGCGGGCTTGCCCCGCTTGACCTCCGGATCGTCCCCGGTGCACACTATATGACGAAACAGCTTGAAGAAGTCACCATGTCTTTTGGTCTTGTGCGCAAATAGGGTACTCGGGGAGCCCCGTTGCCACGGCGATGGGTATCTTATGCTTGATGAGATGACGCACAAGTTTCTCCGCCCCTAGAAAGAGGTTTCAAGGGGTAACATTGTAATTGTATAAAACATTGTGGTGCAATATTGATCAACAAATTCAGTTTTGTTTTCTCCTGATTTTTAAAATTTTATTTGTTCAGATTTTCATTTAGTGTTCCATTTTTACCAAAACTGTTTTCCGTCTATTTTTAGGAATCCAACCATCTGTAAAAAGGCTTATAATTGTTGGCGTTTGCAACTGTAATTTACGGAATATATAGCCGAAATATGGTCGAGATGCAAATAATTTCAATTTTAATGCAATGTTGATCTAAAATTTTGCAATCAGCATTATGCCTATTGTAAGTTGGGGGCCAATCCAGGTTTGACTTGGGGGGGGGGGGATGGAGAGTGGGAGGAGGGAGGTGGTTGGGGGGGGGGGGAGTTGCTGGGGTGGAAGTTAGTAGTCTGGGGTAACAGTCTCCTGGGTGATATTTCCTCTTAAATGGTTTTCGTGTTTTTACAGGGGGCGGGGTTAAGACCAACACCCTATCCCCACCCAACCTGTAGGAGTGTTACTGTTCTTACCTGGCATTAAATTTGCAGTTGGAAGACCTCTTCACTTTTGCGACTGACCAGCTTGACCCATTCCTCAGGTGTCACCTTGATTCCTGTCTCATCGATGATCATTTGCGCCGCTTCGATCTCTTTACGACCCATCAGTTTCTGCTTGAGCTCCCACGTGTACTCTGGTATGCCATGCTCATGGAAAATCTCTTCATATATAACTGTGTAGAGTCTCTCTGTGTCTGTTTAAATAAAAAAAAACCAGTGTAACTGTATTCCCAAAGACAAAGGGAGAACTAGAACAGATTCTTTGTTGTCCTCGAGAATTCATCTTTTGTTGAAAATGGTCCTCAATCATGAGTCCGTGTGGGAGAGTGTAATACTTTGTATAGGGACAAGGGAAACACAAAGCCTTGTCCTCGAGAGTATAGCAAAAAAAATGACTGAGCGTGCAGTGCAGTTTATACTTATAGTGGGGAAGCAAGTGATAGGTTTTTACTTTTTTTTATAGACTTATCAACTTAATTATCAATTCCTCCATGGTGATTACAGTTTTACAGCATATTTGTATAACACAAAAAAAAGTAGGCTATTGGTCGGCGCCGGTTTCCAGCTGAGCTTGCTTGAACTAGTGTTTACTGAAAGAAAGCTGGAGCAGCCTATATAACAAAATTATATATGCGACAATCTTAGGTAGTCTATAGGTAACATTTGAACAGATTCGCTTCAAGACAACCGCATATTGACCTCTAGATTTTGACCAATCAGTGGGCACTTTCTATATTAAACTGGTCTTTGGTCATTCAACCATTGTCCCGTCAAAGACAGGGATAAAAAAACCTGCGTCACACGCTCTATATTATGTTATGCGATGCGTGGCCAGCTGTTGTATTACAAACACTGCATTCGAATTGTCCAATCACCCCTTTAGTCCAGATTTGGGAATGAAATGACGTCACGATTTAGTAAAGACGACTCCGATTGGCTGAGGCACGAGATCGCATAAATCTGCATGCTCTGACATAGAGACTTGGCTCCGTGGATAACAGGTGATACTCATTCTAATCATAAGGGGTCTCCGTGAAAATAAATTAAATAGGTGGTTAAGGCAGCCGTACCCTGATTTTCAACAGCTATTGTTAATACGAGGGGGGAGGGGGGGGGGGTGCTCGTACCATACTTTCAATTGGGGCGCTGTTTAAATATTATTATTAACACAGTCACAGATACCCCCTAAACAAGCTGGCTTTGTACGTATTTTTGTGCAGGTGGACATTACTACTAGCAAAACATTTTTGGTGTCGGAGCGGGGGGGGGGGGGGGGGTTGCAATTTTTTCAGGAATTTCTATGGGGAAATTTGACCCCCTAAAACCCCCTCTGGATCAGCGCCTGAAATAACATTTTTGGCCTAGGCCTATTACTTAAGTTTAACATGCTACTAAATTTCTAGGCCCCTATTGCTAAAATTAAAAGTTAGTGTCATTTGAATTGCTGCAACTTCAGTGGGCCACGCCCACGTGTGCGGACGTAAATACGAGCGCAACAGCATGCAGCTGCAGCGCGTAAATCAACTCCCGACTTCCACTCGCGCTGCGCTGAAACTTTTCCGTCTGCGCTTGTGGGTAACATTCGTTTACCTAGCAAGAGTCCATCCATATCAAATATTACATGCGTAATATCAGCTCGTTTTTGAACTCATTTTGAAAATAAAAATTAGGCCTTTCGATCTGCACACTGAACTCCGAATCCTCGATGTTTGCAACAACAACATGTGGTGGATAATGTATATAGCACCAGACTATTTACGTGCTTAATGCCGTACGTCAGTCTAGTTCCCCCTTCCGAGCAGTAGTGTAACTTCCATTACCTCACAAACTAACCAATCACAGTGCTCGTTTCTGAACGTGAAATGTGGCACAGGTTTAAAATGGAGATCGTTACCGATTTATGCATGATTAATTTTCTACGTCCATAATTCATCAATAAGGCGCATCTTTTGTCAACGTACTCACAGCATGTATTGCAATCGACAACTGCGGCATAAATCTGTATACATTTGAACTGGTGATATACAAGTTAAAGTGTTATTTGCAGCGATATATTTAACGTAACATTTATTGTGCTGCGTTTACTGTGTACGCACGGCCGGCCAAATGGCGGCTACATGTGCCAGCGAGTTGAACATGTTGAATGATGTGACTGTCAGTTCTTCAGTCAGCATGTCGGTCACTACCATTCAAGACCAAGATGCAGGTATAAACATCTTAAGACTTTTTAAATTTTGGAATAGATATAAAACTGGTAGGCCCCCTATTGTTGTTATTGCTCTCTAACTGTTTTGACTTTATTTTTCCGCAGTGGCTATTGTCATGATTGTTGTTACGGCAGCCGTAACACATTTCCATTTTCTATCGTTACGGTAGACTGCAACTTTTTATAAACATGACAAGAAAATATAAAATTAGAAGGAAAAAAGTGAATTTGAACGTTATGAAATTCGGACTTTATTTCCCTTAAAAAAATCCTCCAAAGCCTCAGGTTAGAAAAGGAAAAAAATTCTAGTGCAAAACTGAGATTCGAACCCACAACCTCGCGGTGCAAAACCTACCCTCTATCGACTGAGCTGTCGCACTGCTCGCTAAAACATGTGGAAACAAATAATTATATACCTGCGTGCGTATCAAAAAAGTATCGTAGCTAGAGGGAGCTAAACAACGACTGCCGAAACGATAGCCACTTCGTTGTTGTTTTCGTCACGTTTTTAAGGTTCAGAAATTAGGTCTTCAATAAATATCTAAATTCTAATTTCATTTGTAGGTCATGTTCAGCCTGTCATTTGTCAAGATTATTAGTAATTACTATTATTATTGGAAAGATTGTTGCAACCTGATGCTACTTCAGTTGTTGTGTACAAAGTCTATGGAGAGTCAAGACAATTTTCTAAGTGTTTCCCAACAAAATTGGAAATATTTCTCAGTCCCAGATTCATATGTCTTATCGTCATTTTTGCAATGAATGACCTTAATTGAGATGAAATACATATGAAGAAAAAAGCAGCATCAGGTTGCAACATTCTTTCCCTTTTATTATTATAATATCTTTTATTGTAACAATCAAACATGTCAAGACAAAAGAGACCTTGATAATTGAACATGTTGACGCCAGGGGCTGATCAAACAGTTGGACCATGGATGGACCAAAGATTTTCGCTAGTCCGAAAATTTAGGACTCTCAATACTGTGTATGAGAGTCCCAAAACTTAAGGACTGGCACATGAAACAATCCGTCCCACAACTCTTCAGTACTGCATCTAATCAACTGTCAGCTGACTTAGTACGAAAATTTGGGACCTAGTACCCGACATCCTTTCCGTTAGCTATACAGAAAGGTGCATTTCAGACCACGGGGCATTCTTGGAGGTATAATTCTAACTATTAAAAGTTACAAATTGACAGTCTAATGTTAAGCACTTAAGGTCCTTGTCTGGGTTTTCGCTAGTTTACTGTCTTGTACATACGTCTCTGCATAGCCTAAAAGATGGCTCTAGTTAGAGAGAAGGGCATGAAAGGAGGCCATTGCTTGTCAACAAGTTTCCTGTGTATCATCAGTATCTTAGTTGCTTTGCTGCAACCACCTGTTGACTTCCCAGCAAACTTGTTGAAGTGGATACATTTCTCAATCTCATGGAGTTGTGGAAATTTCTCAGGATGCAACTTTTTTTTTATCTTTTACCATTCAATGTAGATTGTGAGCATAGGATATGCCTTGTTGGAGAAGAGACAGCCAACAATCAACAGCTTCTACAAGATTTGCAGGTTTGTTCAATCATGGAGCTATAATACATGTATATTTTTGTCCACAGGAAAATTGAAAACCCTCCTGCAGTCCGAACAGTCACAGACTGCCCAAAATCAATCCCCTTCCCCTGCCACACCTTTATACAAAGTACAGTCAGTCAAAAACAAGCAGATCAAATTTGTGGTAAGCTGTATGACTTGCCCCAACCTGTTTGCTTCTGTACCACTGTCATTTTGCCTTTGAGAAAGGTCCTGCAGCAGGGTTTGACTTTAATGGTAGCCCGCTAGCCAAATGCAAGTCAAAAAAGCAGCGGTCTAGTCCTGCCTGTCCTGCACGACTGAAACGTAAAGCCTGTTTTGTTTTTCCATGTAGCCTGGTGTTCACTTTGAAAATTTCCCACAAAAATGACATTCAAAACCTTTCGGTTTTCATTATGTCATCGTCTGAGAAGTTACTACATGTAAGTCATTTGTGAAGTTTGTAACGGGTACATGATCCGTGAATCTGGAACCGGTTTCTGACATCAGCGGTCGGGTACCTGGTTCCGATGCACAGCCCTACCCTCAAACATTTGTGGGGTTTTTTCAGTTAAATATTTCATTTTTAAATAACATTGCTGATGCATCTTGTTGTTTAGACTCTCGGTTTGCCAGTTACGACATCCGAGACAGGTATGGAGAACGTGATAGAACCAGCCGGAGTTGAAACCCTCTTTGTTCTGACCGAGTTTGAAGGAGAAGGCTTTGAGAACTTGAGACGCAACGGCTGCCGAGTGTTGGGGGCTCCTGTCATTTATAAATGTGCAGCCGAAAAACAGGTTAGTCTGTAGTGTGACTCCATTTACAAACATGTAGATAAAAATGAATCATGCATTAATTTTGCTTAGCACATTCTAACCAGTGCGCTAACACTGTGTCCCGCATATGGAGCGCTTACGAGTGGCCGCAAGCGATTGTTCATGCACGTAGCACATATGATTGGACCAACACAACTTGAAATTAACCAACCCCATTGTAGTGATTTCTCAGTGGTAATGATGATCATTACTCCTCATACATATTTATGAGCCAAATGCACTTCTTTCATCGGTCGATGTTCCAACACACCTGGGAACTAAAAGTAGAAACCCCACACACGTGTACATGTAGACCATCATCATGTTGCAGCCACCGTGATTTTTTTCGCATTCAAATCAATGTAACCAAAGCAAGGCTGAAAGGACAAAAAAGTCTGGTTCCTTTTTGCACAAAAAAACATTATCATCCAGCACTGTTATTGGATACAGGGAACATGACTGAAATGGTGGCAGCATGATAAAGGTCTGTTGTGGTAGTTCTAGAGAAATACATGTGCATGTAGTACCCCAAGACTCCCACCTTCCAAGACTCCGGTCCCACCATGCAACAGTTGTGATCCCAATTGAGGTTTCTGGTGGTACCGAATGAAAACCTTGCGGCAGACAAATAATTATGCACTCTGTGTGAGGGATTTTCCACAGAATTGTAAGCCTGTAGTACAGGCGTGGAACTTTTCCTCAAATAAGCTGATTTCCTCCGTTTTGCTGGAAGAAGTGCAAAATTACTGGTCCCTTAGTCGGTTATTGTTTGCTGATTTTGACTACCTCCCTCTGCTTCGTGTCAGGGGCATGGTCAAATCATCCAACACCCAGGTCTAGTGATTTCCCCAAACCATGTTGTATTTGTAAAGTATCTTGCTTCATATCCATACATTACAGCCGCTGCCATTGACTAGTCGACCCTTGTACTGCTGCCACATGTCCCAGCTTGTGATTTGCTTCACGGGTTCGTCGAGAAGGAAGAACTGAAACGGCTCGCCGAGCTGGTTCATCACATGGGGGGCAGCGTCCGGAGGGACTTCAGCGCTAAGGTCACTCACCTGGTTGCCAACGGAACCACTGGTAACAAATACAGGGTAAGTTTATACAACGATCCGTTAAGGCCTGCCCCTTGATTTTGTTTTACCATCACAGCCCGAAGTTTGCAACCAAATGTCCGACTAATCTGGCATAATGTGCTTTTGAGCATGACATGTGTAGCTGGAACATGGAGTGCACGTGGCATTAGGGAAAGGCCTGTGTTTCCCCCCCCCCCCCCCCCCCAATGTACGAAGTCTTTGCATTCTGCGAGCCAATAAGTGCCCCCCCCCCCTAGAGAAGGCAAGCCAATATATTGGCTCGAGTTTCATAGCGCATCGTCTTAATAAGCCTCTGTACTGATGACGTTACACTTTCTTCACATGTGTGCTTTTCTATGGGGCTACGAAACTGTCGTCCCCACCAGGCTCCCATAAGAAAGCACACGTGTAAACAAAGTGGGACGTCGTCAGTACAGAGGCCTATTGCATGTAATTTATGCATTTTTTGCTGTATGTAGAGAATTTATATTTCTGATTGTGTTTTGAATTTGTTTGTTGTTAATCCCAGTGTTTCCCCTGGCTAATGAACTGAGCGAGGTGGTAACAATTCAACTTGATGATTGAAACGAAATTTACAGTCTGCAAACTGAAAAGAATGCAGCGCTCACAAAACTGCGCGATGATTAAAAAAACACATCGAAATTGTGACTTCTTGATACATGGAGGTAAAGGAAAATGCTCATATATTACACAAAATGAAAATTTGTTCAATTGATATTTCCTTTTTTGCCAATCTTCACAGCGAGGTGGTGATATTGGCAAAAATTGAGCGAGGTGGTCACTGAAAGTAGCGAGGTGGGCCACCTCACGTTTGAATGGGCAGGGGAAACACTGGTTAATCCTAACCTTGCCAGACATACATGTAGCACTGTGCACCAGGTATAAAAGTCTGTGAGACCTTGTTGCATTAATTAAGCCATCAACACCAGTGCATACACGGCCATTGAACAATGCCACAGTTGTATCATGCTGCAGTTAGTGACCACAGACTCTGATGAGGCAGTTTGGCCTTGCAATTTTGACCTGATGGACCTTGCTAATGTACACTGAGCAGGCTAGTTGATTTGACAAGCGTTGCGTGTTGCTGTGTCCAGCAGGGTTTCTAGCCAAAATACCTTAGGGGGTTAGGGTTAAAAGTGTACACATCACCTCCTAAGTGAAGCATGTACTTCTGATTTCCAGGTGGCAGTCAGTCTCGGGACACCAATCATGACCAAAGAATGGATCAACATGGCCTGGCAGCATAGACATGACACGCAGATATCTGCAACGACCGAAGCTATGGTGAGCACCCCCTGTCAAGTTGGTGCCGTGCATATTTTCCTAATTATCTAGTATTTGATTATTCTAATTTGGATTTTGGTCGAATATTCAATGTTTGAAATGGGCTGATCAAGATGTGAATGTGCCAGCATGATGACTGAGATCTGTGTAAAATGACTAATTGCAGCTTCATAAATAGGACCAGATTAAACCAGGGGTGTGAAATCTCAGCTATAAAGCTGATTTCAGCTTTTTTGGTTTTGGATTTCAGCTTTTTTCCCTCACTTGCTGTGTACAAAAGTATAGGAGATTTCCAAAGTTCAGCCTTTTTACACCTTTTTTCAGCTGTTTTCAGCTATTTTCATCAGTGGTCACTCACACCCCTGTTAAACGAAAGGCGTTTAACTTTCTTTTTGCACAAAAACAAACTTAAGAGTAAAGTTTTATGGAACAATCTTTACACTTTTAAATTTTTCAAGTTGTGGTCCATTTTTCATGCTCACTTTTTATTTCCACATGATGACCAAAGAGGCTGGTACAGTCGACTCTCGTTAAGGCCAAAAAAAAAAAATATTCGGTCTCTGGTCAGACCAAAGTTCCGGAATTGACGCGGCCACGCGGCTTTTTTTTTTTTTTTTTTTTTTTTTCTTCAAGCTTGGATTGTACAGACAAGGTGGGTACTATTTTGCTTTTTTGGTGTCCTCATGCATATTAGTGTCCTCCATAATTTGCCTTGGTGCTTTCGATCATTTGCCTTGGTGCAATTTCCCATTCCTTGGTGCTCTTTGGTAAAAAAAAATGAGGAGGTGCGGAAATAAAGGGCGCTGTTGGAGCTACCGCGGAACATTGTGGAAAAAAAAAAAGATCGACGCGCATGATTAAAATCGACGCGTGCGCTGACCAGAGACCGACTTATTTTTTTTTTGGCCTAATACACTGTAAATACAAATTTCGGTTATAGCAAATATAAAGCCTCGGTCCCGACTGTGCTATACATGTATGTGCACAATGAATGGGACCAGCACTCCACTTAATACAAAATTCTTATATAACAACAAAAAAATTGGCAAGGTCTCGTTGAGTTTGTAATAAGGAGTCGACTGTACTGTGCAGAGCCAAGTCTGTAACTAGGTAGCACCTCGCGGCTGAGACGAACGGTATGCTACCTACATGTACATGTACCCTGCAAAATGGGTGACAGGCGGCGTGCTACCTACCCCGCATAATGGGCGACTTGGGGCATGTTACCTACCCCACATAACAGGTGACAGGCGGCATGTTACCTACCTCGCATAACAGGTGACAGGCGGTATGCTACCTACCCCGCATGAAACGGGCAGCATGCTACCCACTCCACATAACTGGCCTCGCATATTATAAACTTATCGTTTTCTTTGTATGATTTGTGCATACAGTTGCAATATAAAATGGCACCGTTCTTCAAGTGTGTGCTGGCGTTCGTCGGATTTTCTGCAGAGGAACAAAAACACATGGAGGAGGTCACTCTCACACAAGGTAATTTGTAGGAAAAACAAACTTGGGAATAAAAGGCACATTTCTTATTTGTATTAAAGAAAGCTATTGACAAAGTTGTGTTTCGTGATCAAAATGTCGTGCATGTTTTTTCCCCCTTTTTTTCTCTCGAAAAGTGTCATATCCACTGAGCTGAAAGTTCATAAGGTTAAGGTTTTGAACACCCCTCTTTGGATTTTGAGTGGTGTTATTATTGGATGTGAACAAAATGCGTCAAAAGCAAATGATCCTATTTGCCTCTAAAAATGCAACGTGAATTTTACAAGTAAAATAAGGGTCACTTAATTGACCAGAATATGCATCAAATTTATTCAGTTGCTCATGTGAATGAAGAGAAAAGTTGCATCCATCAGACAAGGCTTAAGACAATGGCACAGTGCTTCTAAACAAATTATTCTTTATTGTCAGGTGGTACTTACGCCGAGGTACGAGATTCCACTTGTACACATCTAGTCATTGAAGACAACGCCACCACTGAAATGCCAACCACTGATGTGAAACGAGTCAAGCAAGAGGTAGGTCCAAGACCCATTGTAGACTGTTGTTCTAGAACTTAATTATTCCGAAGATTTTCAATAAAGTTTAACAGTTGCAACAATTACATGTATGATGAGCGACTACACACAAATGATTGACTAATGCGTGAGAGCATTGGGTATTAGACCTCATACATATTCATGATCAAGAGTCAAATTCTCACTGGTCCATTCAACATTACGTATTAGGCCCAAAAAAAAAAGTCTCCGGTTTCTGGTATGCGCGCGCGTCGCCGTAGCCATGCGCGTCGGCAAAATGAAAAAGTTTTTTTTTCAATGAAAGATGATGTCTCAAAACCGCCAAACTCACTGGTTTGACTGGAATCCTGCTGCTGCACAATTTTAACGTGTTTTTACATTGGGTTATGGTCGAGAATAAGCTTTATGTGACCTCTCTGGACTCCCATATATTTGCACTAAGTTTAGTCAGGCACCATTTGCAGTCATCAGCCGACATTTGAAGCAAAAAAATCAGGTAAAAAAAAAAAAAAAAGCCGCGTCACCGCACCACTTTTTGGGCAAGCTCCATACCAGAAACCGGAGACTTTTTTTTTTGGCCTTAGCCGCTAGTTTTGCTGTTTACCAAGCGCGCACCACGCAAGGATTCACGAACAGGGTATAAACATGTACGTATGCATAGTAGACTAGCGCACAGTTTATTCTTGGTTAACAGTACAAGTCTTCATGTACATTGTAGATGTAAACGGTCTTTAAACAGCTACAGAATAGCATAGCATGATAATGTTTCTTTTCATCGCACAGTGGTTCTGGGCCAGTGTTCAGATGGATGCCTGTGCTGATGAGAGTTTATACTCATACCACAAGGTAAGATATTCTAGATATATTAACCGTGCTCCTATTATCTATTTTGTTACAGTATTAGAACTTAAAATTTTGTTTGAAAAGTAAATCAGTTTTCATTTTAGCGTGAAAGTTCATCTGTGTTGGTAGTTAGATATTATTTAGAGGTAAAACTTTGATCAGCTTTCATTTGTTCATGTGGTTGCATTCCTTGAGTAGACAGTCAGCTCCGATGAAGTCCTCAACACGCCAGGGAACACGCCAGTCGTGCGCACGTCGCGCAAACGACGCCGCCTGAAGGACAGCCTCGCCGCGCTGAGCCAGGAAAACGATGACCTGGCTTCGCCGCGGCTGCCCAAGCGTCGGTCCAGCACCCTCCCTGATCCCGGCACGGTCTTATCCATGTCGGCTTCGTCTCTGCTGGATGCTACTCCCGACGAATCACTGGCAGGAAATGGTATATAAATGTCTTTCTTAATCAAATTCAAAGGGAAGATTGAGGGGGGGGGGCAGTTTGGCTATAAACCCTGCTAAACTGCCTAGGCATGCTAGGAGTCTGTGGTCACCAACTGCTGCAGGATACAACAACGACAGTGTTCTATGGGCCTTGCTCCCATTGTCTCAAAATTGGCAGTCTAGGATCCTAATGTAACAAGGTCCCACAGGCTTTGACACCCGTTGTAGAGTCCAAGCCTGAGCGAAATCTATAAAACAGGTGAAAACCTATAAATCCCATATATTCATTTAATTTTCTTGGTAGCCTACTTTTCTCTTTAAGTAACCTATATAACCCACAAAAAGCTATATTTTTACTGTTCCATGGATGCAATTTAAAAAAATTTAAGAATAAAAAAAAATAATAATATGACCCACGGAAAAAATTTAAGAATAAAAAAAAATAATAATATGACCCACGGTTTTAGTTTTCACAATGCCAAAATAACCACATTGTCAATATACCTCTCTTAGATTTTTTTTTATAAGTGTTTCAGAATTGGGTATTGTTTGCATGAAATAGTTTTCAGGGAACTTTATCTAATGTGAAGAAATTGAGGCAAGCTGAACATTTGCACGGTTCTGTGCCCTGAAAACCTATTAATGCCTGTATTTTGGCACTTGGACATGTTGGAAAACCTTTTAAAACCTACATTTTGATTTCCAAAACCTATTAAAAAAAACCTATTTTGATGAAGTGGTCCAATACGATGCCTGAGTGTCTCACATCTGACAGGTGTTATAGTTTCTTCAGAATCCAAGTTTGAGATGTGTTTGTTTTTATTCGCCATCAGATCGATGCACTCCCATGCAAGTGGATGACACACCAGTAAGTAGAAACAGCCAAGCGCAGCCAATCTCCAAACGTCACCTGACAGCAATGGAACTACTACAGACAGAGACCAATTATGTAGGAATACTGCACACTATCATCACGGTAAGTTGTGGAAATGCTTTGCATGAGAATGACGGTTGTCGTTTTAATGCCACAAGTTGTTTTTGTGACCCAAGGGTTCCTAAAATGAAATATTTTCAAACATGAAAGTTGAACGCAGTCTGGGATTCAAGTTACTTAACAGCTTCATTTGCATTTCAAAGTTTTATCTCACTAGATAGTGTGGGTACTGTTCCTTCAGAAAAAAAATGAAAACCAATGCGTCATTTCTGCAAACAAATCCATGAAAAATGGAAATATGTATTTCTTGAGCTCATACATCTCTACAAATCATCAAACAAATCACCGTCACATGCAAAATTACGGTTGACCCATGCGATTGCATGGGGATAGTGTACACGCACGAATTCATAATTGCTATGTGAAAAGATGGCAGCACACATGCAGCAATGTTTTTCCCAGATAACCGATGCGTAAATCAAAAAAGAATTGGTGAATACATGTGAAATTAAACAAATATAACATGGTTTATTTCAGTTGGATATTTTGCCCAGGGAACTAGTTTGTCAACTTCCATAACCTCGGGGAGCAATTATCTATCGTCTATCCACCCTCCAAGCATGTATTTTTTATATACTTTTGTTTCTGATGATAGGTCTTCAAAGAACCGCTGGAGACGGAGCAGACAGGAGGACCCATTCTGGACCAGGAGGAGATCAAGACTATCTTCAGCAAGATCCCTGAGATACACGAGGTCCATCAGCGTCTGCAGGAGGATCTCGAGAGACTACTGGATGATTACAGTGAAGATAAGAGCATTGCACAGATCATCATCAAGCATGTAAGAAGCGTAAACCCCTCTCATTTCGTCTCTCATAGTTTTCATTTTGTTTTTTGGTGTTGATTAATCTGTCGGTTTTAAAAGCATGATTCTTTTCCTTTTAAGTCTGATCTCTGAAGTTTAGTACAGAATGTCCCAAAAAGTGTCCATCTAAATATTTTCGAAATAACGACAAAACCACGAAGAAAATGTTTTAATCGTGCGGATACTCCTAATCCTTGGCTTCAACCCCTATGAGTGTCATTGAATTTCCATCACGCGTCACTGTGCAATGGTCATTTGATCACGACAACATTTTTGGACACTGTGACCAAGTTCCTTGCCTTGATCAATTTCAGTGCTTTGTTACGTAAGCTGTGTAAAAATCCTTCATTTTGTGAAATTTTTCAAAATTTACTTTGTGGTTTTGTTCTTTCAAAACTGGTTAGATGGATAATTTTTTTTGACATATTGTATAGTAAAGACATTGCATAGGTAACAGCTGATTATATAGACAAAATATGAACAATCACATTGGTTTAGGTAAGACGATAACTTTTATCTTGATTATTTATCCTTTCAGTCAGCTGATATGATAAAAGCATATCCAGCCTTTGTCAACTTCTTTGAGTTGAGCAAGCAGACAGTTCTTGACTGTGACAAGCAGAAGCCCAGGTTCCATGCCTTCCTCAAGGTAATATGAGCTGCTCACGTGTGTCAAATATGTGGATGGATTCACGGAAAGATTTCCATATACGAAGTTCACTCAACACCCTGTGTACAAACCCTATGAGATTGGACTGAAAAATTCTAAGTGTTTTCTAAGAAAATGCTTGTATTTTCTCACTGCTCAAATTGACTTTGATGACATGAAATTGCAATCTGGGGGCTTGTTAGTCAATACAGAGGAAAATTAGTGAACTTCGTATATGGAAATCTTTCCGGATTCACTACTTTTCCATTGATGTATTTATGATCTTAAAGTTGCATTTCGCATGCTGTTTTCTAATTTCATTCTGAAAAGTAGATTTTTTTTCTAAATTGCTATTTTTTTAGCAATACAAACACTATTCACATCGACCTCAACAAAAATCGGCCAATGTTTAGTTATCGAAATGTTAGTTTGCAATTCTGAATGATTAGCTTCAAGACAATAATTCCGTTCTCGCGGGGTAGGCCAGTTCCCACCCGACAATCAATGTCAATAATGTATGGACAAGGAGAAAGTCTGCTCAAAAAAATTCATTGATGAAAGAAAAAAAAAATCAAATTTGTTGAAGAGTAACTTCAAGATTTGTCAGAATAGTCCAAATGTTTTGGTCTGGGACCCAGACAACTCCTAACCTGCTAGTGAATATTTGCATCTTTTCCTTTTGGATTAGATTTGTCAGAGTAAGCCAGAGTGCGGTCGCCAGACCCTGACTGAGCTACTCATCCGACCTGTGCAGAGACTGCCCAGCATGATCCTACTACTGTCAGGTAAGTCTGTATGAAGACATAATTATCTAAAGACACTCACTATTATAAACAATGCTTTCATTGCACGGCCAATTGTGTGCCCTGTGTAGGGTCATACTCGACTGAACTGTTCTGTACTGTTGGCCACGTAGTAAAATTTTTTTCTCACATATGGTCTAGTCGTAGGAAGCCTTATAACACCTCACCCACAGATTCTGTGTCTTGATTGGCCGAGAGCGTGTCACATGGTACTTTCTATTTTTGCTATCTTTCTGTGCACGGCCTAAAGTACTATACCTGTAGCAACCAAAGTACTATACCATTAGCAACCAAAGTACTTTACCCATGGCGCGGTATTTGTGAAGAAATGCATGCTGGTGTGCACGTTCAGCATTGCACGTATTGTTCCCAAGAGAGCGCGCCACAGAGTGGGGTTAAAACATTTCGTGAAGGGGTGGTTTGGAAGATAGAAATGCATTTCCCACGAATTTTGTACTGAAATTGAAGTATATTTTAACTGTGTTCAGATTTAAATAACTGAAAACAAAGCAGAATCTGTGGGTGAAGTGTTATAAAAACAAATACAGAATGCTTTATCTCGCCACATGGTGTAGTAAAACTAGCCTCCCTCGGTGATCCATGGAGCATTCTATTTTTCCGTCCATGGATCACCTCGGGAGGCTAGTTTTACTACACCACTCGAAGCATTCAATGTTTATATACTAGCCTATTGCTTTAAATCATCGGAATAGGTCTAGCCGTCGTGTAGATACTTTAATAAGCCCTCTTTCAGTCATTGATTTATTTGACTCCGGTGGTTTGATGTGATGATTGCATGGCTGATTGAGTGGTATTGATGCATTACAGATTTACAGAAGAGGACTCCAGAGGGCCACATAGAACGTGATCACCTTGCCCAGGCGGTAGATTCCCTCAGGAAAGTCACCGAGTAAGTCAGCCACAAATCTTCAACTCTGGAATATTCCTCACAATTTGTCCATTTGTTTTTCTTCAATACAATATTTCTTTTCGGCTTATAATAATACAGAATATACCGCGCTATACCAAGATCATAGCAAGAAAATACACAAAGGGCATAGAACAACAGAGCGATGAACAATACATTAATCCAGAGAAAACAGGCAGTTCAAGAAATTTCTGGGAAAAGGATGATCTTTAATTAATTAAAGAACGTTTGACCATTACTTATATTAGTTGAATTATTTAATTTTTAATGTCAGTGCAAAAGTTTTTTACATACAAATGAGATAGCGACAGAAAAAGTCTGCCGATGTTTATTTTATGGAAAAATGACTATGAAAATTCTGAATTATTTATAGCCCTGACAATAATAAAGGTAGTCTAGTGTGTGTCAGACAGTGATGTAGGTCTTGAGGCAGGTCTCGGTATCAAGACCAGTCTCAAGACCGATTTTTCGTAGGCCTCGACAATTATAAGGTCTTGACTCAAAGAACTCGGTCTCTGCCTCAATCTATCTCACAGCAAAAGTCTCAAGATCATGTGGGGACTCGAGCATACGAGACCTTATTGTTCAGTTGGGGAAACCACCAAAAAATCACATTTATATGATCTGACCATATCTGACTTACTTTCGACTACAACACTGGAGGATTGCCAATGCCCAAAATTGAAATTGTGTGAGAAGAACCAAAAAAATGAATATGTACAGGGAGAGAAACTTAAACTGACTAACAATTCTGAAACAATGGATCGAATTTACTTTGGCCAGACACATCAACGAGGACAAGCGGAAGACCGAGGGCCACACCCAGATGTTTGAGGTCATGAACGACATTGAGGATGTGCCTCCACACCTGCTATCAGCCCATCGGAGCTTCGTCATGCGCGCCGACATGACCGAGATCGGCGACAAGGAGAACGGTAAAGGAGAGAACTTCTCAGAGAAAGGCGGCAGCATCAGCATGTTTCTGTTCTCAGACACATTGGAGGTCAGTGCAGTGCTAAGAGATTACACCTGCTTAATTGATCGGGGTAATAGGTTTATTACTAATTGTTGCTAGTCCCATATAGTCCTCTCTGTTCCTGACTGACTAACTAACTTACTGTACTTGCCATTTAGAAATACTTAAGTCACTCAATGACTGATTGTTACCTGTGAATCAGACTGGTATCTCGCTGACGGGTGCAGACCAGTAAATGAACTACTGTAGATCCCAGTGATATTAACGCCCAATTCCAAAAATTGTTTAAAAAAACCTCACAACTCTGCAAGGTGTTTGAGACACACATCAAATTAAAGGTTATTTCATCCTCTTTCATTTTCTGCTAATTTTTTTTTTTTTTTTGGGGGGGGTTAACCTGACGAATTCAGAAGAAATATCAATCCAAAGATGATCACCCCTCAATTCCTTTACAAAGTTTTCAAAATGTGAAAACAAAACCCAAGAATCTTCTTTTTAGGTAAACATACGTATCACAAATAATTAACATTAGTTTTCATATATATTTTTACAAAACCTTAGAAGCTTGATTAGTTTCTACTCTGTCAATGGCTGCCCTTATGTATAATGTCAAACATTGTTGATTTATCATGTCAATCACAGAAATGTATGTGATGTGTAAAGCAGCCGTTATTTACTCAAATGATTATTGAGACTTTGACAAAATTTAGGAGTTGTTTGTGGTATTTTTGTAACAGATCTGCAAGCGGCGTGGCAAACCAGGAGCCTCATTCAAGAGTCCTCATAGCAGCAAGGCCCCACAGAAATTCTACAAGCACATAGAGCTGGTTCCTTTATCTCACATCCGGAGGATTCTGGACGTGCAGGAAACAGAAGGTAATGGCCAATTCACACAATACGCAAATGCAAATGTGAAACAATTTTGACTTCACGAAACATCTGCTACGAAAGACCCCGCGATTGAAATGTGTTCAACTCTTGGGAATTCGCCGCATGAAAACTTTCCACGATGTCACAAATTCAGTCAGGTTGGCATAACAGTACTTTCCTCGCCTTCCACAGCTGTGACCCGGGTTCGATTCGTGCCCATGCCAATATGTGGATTAGACAGACATTCAGTCACTGCCTGATTCCGTGGCTTTCCTCAGAATATCCTTTTTGGGTTTTCCTCCCACCTCTAAAACTTTAATTTCTTCAAATTGCGTTCTCTTTACTGGGCCCCATGGGAAAACAGTGGATTCCACTGAATGGGCCTACCTGGTTAAAATAAGAATAAATAAATAAATAAAAAATAAATTCATGTTCGTGTTTTCTTTCACATTGAGTTTGAACCGGCCTTAACTGTACACAGCAACAGCAAAAAGTCAGAGTTAATACATGTTTAGTTACTGAATTATTACTTCACAATTTTTGAATTATTGGCTGCCAGACAATAATTCCATTTTGCCGGGGTAGGCCGGTTCCCGCCCCACAATCAGTATTGCTAATGTACAGACTGGGGAGCCAGTCTGCTCACAGAGAGGATCTGTTCTGAAAAAAACCAAAACACTTTTTTTTTCAGAGGGTGCAGGCGTCCAAAATAAAGGGGAGTTTTTCAATTGGAATAAAACATACAAGATGAAAATTAATTTCGAAAAAAAAATAATTTGAATTTATTGAAGAGCGCAGGGATCGCAACTTTAAGTTTTAATCGTTTGTTTTGTTTTGTTTAGAATGCAAAAACACGTTTGGCATTTTGTGCAAGCCGCCCATGGACACCACAGATCGCCTGGATCGGCTGTACCTTTTCACGTTAGTCAGGGAAGAGCCACAAAAAGAAGACTGGCTGAAGACAATGTGCAAACACATGGCAGACGTCACCTGTAAAACAGATGCTGTGAGTATAGGGGCTTAGGGCTTCTGATAATGCAAGTGAAAAGATACGTTGGTTCGTTGTTTGTGACTGTTCCGTTCCAAGAAAATCATTCCAATTTAGGGGTGTGCATTTACGGGTAGTACGAAAATCAGGTACCCGAGTGAAAAAAACATGGGTACACGTTAAAGAAACCTAATCCCAAAATTCAAATCCTGGCATCAACGCCATCAATACAGCAAGATACAAGTGCATACAGTGAGCTTTATAGCTTTACGGTGTAAATTGCAACTTTAGCGAGCTTCATAAACATGGTTTGTTTCGTTTTCCAATGTAGCCGGGCTTTATTTTGAAAATGCTCTACAGATGGCAGTCACAACGTTTCTTTTTCGTTGTCTGTGAAGTTACTAAGTAGTATGTAAAGTTGGTTACGGGTACCCGATCCCATAATGAGGAACCGGTTCCTGACATCAGCGTTCGGGTACTTGGGAACCCGGTTCCAATGCGATGCCCTATTCGTTCTTGGTTCTTGGTTGGTTCTTCTCCTAAATACTCCACGTGGGAGTTTGAACAGGAGGCCAGAAACACCGGGGCAAACCCCTTCTCTTAGCGATAAATGTCACTGGGTTCTTATACGTGCATTGCACAACACACGGGACCTACAGCTTTACGTCCCATCTGAAGGACAAAGCAAATAATGGTCAAGTGCCTTGCTTAAGGGCATAAGTGTCCACCCGGGATCGAACCCATGCCACTGTTGCCTCTGAAACACCATAGCATGAGTCCGGTGCTCTTAACCGCTAGGCCGTGACACTCCAACTAATTCCAATCTACATATTTTCTATTAAAAGTGATACATCTTGTTTCCCTTTCAGGATAACTTCCTGACCAAAATAACCCCCGAGGAACTGGAAATCACCAAGAGTGATTTTGACAAGGGCAAGCTGACTAAAGCAATGAGGTAGGAATGGTACTCACTGTGTGTTTTGTTGTTGTTTGAACACCCACGAATTCATTTTGTTGAAAGTCCATTCAAGTTATGTTCAGGTTCTTTATTTGTTTTTTTTCTTCACTTTTTCTAGTTTAGTATACATTTAGTTTACGCTGTTGCCCCATGCTTTTCTCTTTAAGAGCAACTTTTTTAAGTGCAGCATCTCACAGCAGTAATTAAGTAAAGTCAAGTCCGTTTAAAGCGTAATAAGGTGCAGCCCGTAAAAAAAATTAGCTGTTTCAGAAAATTTCCAAAACATCTCTTGCTTTCGTGAAGATTTTCTTTTTTCCTTTTTTCCGGAGGTGTTATATATGAAAAATCAAGTGATGTCATGTGGCGTCCATTAAAGGGGCATTTTTCTATTAAAGGCCTATATCTACAGAACTATATGTTCAATTGATTGTAACTTGATATGTACGTATAATGTGATGTGTTGTGGAAATTTGAAGTGACGTCATCATGTGTTCATCACATCAGAGAGTCATTTCAAACATCCGAAACAGCTTGTGTTTGTCCACAAACACATTTCTAGTTGTCAGCATAATACGAGATCGAATATTTATCCAATGGCAGGAAAGCCAGGCGAGCGACGCGGAAGGTCGGACGCACCTTCTCCTTCAACAAGACACCGCGCCGGACCCTGCAACGTGCCGCATCCACTGCCACACTCAACATGAGTCCCATGGTGATGAGTGTAGATCAGGCTCATCCTGCTGAGCATATGGACCTGACCGGTGCCAGACTAGCTAGTACATCAAGCCTAAATGCAAAGGTAAATCCGTCTTGGAACCCTCAGCCACTGGCGTTCCTCAGAGTCGCGCCGATCCAAATTATTGCAAAACTTTGAAGTAGAGGCACGTACATGTGGGTACATTACTAAATTCCCTGAAAACTTTCCTATTGATACGATGTTAAAAGCAAAGACATGTTCGGTCTGAAATTTGTAGTAAAATTGTTTGGCCAGATATGGTTGGATGGAAAGAAAAGTATCACTGAAGGTGGCTTTAAAAAAGTTTGTATGTGGCACTTGTTTTGTTGTTAAGCTTCTGTTGTATCCACTTAAGAGACCGTAAAAGTTGTCTGTACGCTTTCTCTGATTCTCAAAATGCATAGTAGGCACTGCGCTTAAACTTCAACAGCTTAGCTGTTGTGCAAGCTAGTAAAGATTTCGAGTTATTTCGTTGTTTCAAACGGGAAAAAATATCCCATATACCTATAGATTGACTAGGGAATCAATACATAATAAGATGCAGTTTAGGTAGTCATCTTTCATTCTGTGACGTAGGATGCTAGTCACCGAGGAACATTATATTACAAAATTGGAACAGAAATCATGTACATGTACAGTACACACACCGTCATGTTTTACTTAACTCTCCAGGACAATGCATTGTGTTTCCCTTTGTCCCTATTATATAACACGCTCCCAGGAAGGGGGGGATGCAATTCATGCACACATCTACTTTCCTGTCTGGACTGTTTCTGATGAATGTCGATCTGTTTTTCCGTACAGGTGACGTCACCCCTGGCCACTCTACCGCCGTGCACCCCTAGCAAACTGAAGAGTGTCACCTATGGACCATCTAGCGCCAACTGGCTGTGAAAGCATCCAACACGATGAAACACCCTGCAGACAACATTGGTGGATTTCACCTTAAACGCAACAGCACCGTGTATATCCTTTGTTGCATTCAATAATGCTCTCAAAAACGTGTGTATATGTTTTGACATCGTTGGTCTGAGGCAGTTGAAGAAAGGCCAGTATACGATTACTAGCATTTTTATTGTTAAAGACAAAACAGCCTTCCCCATTTGTAAAATGGATGTACCGAAACTTTAACTTACAATTTCTGGGTGTAAACCCTTTAACCCTTGTATCGCCCCAAACCGCCCTGCCTGTACTCCTCATACCGCCCTAAACCGCTCTACTTTTCTTTGGTTTTATTAATTCCCATAGGAGTAAGTACAATGTAATGCAATGTAATACAAGTGCTAGAGGATTAACAAGTGCAGCTGGCAAATACAACAATAATAATAATAAAATAATAATAACATGATTGATAGCGCACATTTTCGTAAGTTTCAATGCGCGACTAAGGACAACTCCAGAAGATAATGTCAGAGTGTCTCATTTTTTAACATAAGTCAGAATTTGTTTGGATGGCTTTCATCAAGGCATGCAGAAATATAGCATTCGTTTTAACTTTTACTGCATTAAACTTAATTCCTAATACATGTACATGTATGCCTAAAATACTGACTGTGCGGAGTGCAAAAAGGAAATATCTGAATGCATGATGTAAATTTGTTCTCAACAATTATTATCCTGTTCCATGTGATAAGTTCTTGAACTGAATGAGCAAAGCACTCTCTAACATGAGAATGATCTATTAATATAAATATAGCACTTTACTTGGAAAATTAAAATTCTTATTTGTGTACAATTTTTGACTCAGTTACAGCCATGTAAAGGAGACAATGTGTGCTTTTTGTAATTTTTGACATGCTGGGGCTTAGATGAAAACAAATCATTCTAGAATACGTTTTCAGTTTGTTGGAATGATGAGGGGTTACATTTATGGCACTCTTTCAAGGATAGCAGACAAGTTTGCTTATTACCTTAAAAGTAGTTCACTTTGTAAATATACAACAGGCCAATTCATACTGAATGCGAAAGTAAGGAGAATTTTTCGACGTCACCGATTGAAGCTTTATTGTGATGCTCATAGTTTACACCCCATCCAAGTGGCTTTATACTGAAATTCGCGGAAAATCTTAAACATGTCTTCAAGGGCCTTAAATTGAATTTTTCTTAGGAACATATTTTGTGCATCTTCCTACCCTTTAAGTGTATGAAAAATATTTGACATCCCTTCTTGGTTAATTTTATGGAAAAGTACACTTCTTTAAACAATTAAAATTGTCCATGCTTTTCCGGACAACTGAGGGCACTGTTTCTGCGATGTCATTGTTGGAAGTCACTTTTCAGCTAAGGGATTTTATATTCAAATTGTGAACCCCAAAATTTGCTCATTGAAAATATTAATTTGTGAGAAAAGTTTGCTCATTGGCTTACTGTCGTGTATCACTCAAGAAAGAAAATTCTCATCAGCAAAATATCCAAAATTCGGGCAGTTTTGATGCTCAAATGGCTGTAACATTGAGGTTCTGCCTGAAGTGACATCATATGTTTGCTTATGAATATGGAATTTGCATAAACATAAAAAATTGCACCAAAACACCTCTGAAAATGGCAAAACGAAAATTGAAAATAGGGCTTAATGGCACAAAGGTGCATTTCAAAGACAAAGACATTAAACAAGTTACATTGCATGACCCTTTAAGACTCATGATGCGATAAATAAATCAAGGGAAGTGACTTATTTCAAGACAGTCTTAAAAGCGATAGTTTGTAAATTGTAATATTTAAAAAGAATGATTCACTATTTTAATTAATTAAATATGCAAATTTTGTGTGCCATATTTGGATCAATAAAGTGTCTGAGAATCCCTTTTTTTTTCCAAACGAAACTGCTCAGTCTCTCAGTCCTGACAATCATTGTTGGATATGAAATCTCATTTAGTAAGGATCTGCAAGTAATTAGGAGAAAATGCAAAATTAAACAGTTGGTATATGGGTTTACCACAAGGTTTTTAAAGGGTAGGCCCTACCTCAGGGTACAGCCTTTTTGCATTTTCCCCTAAATCACATTGCGTGATAAATGACAATGTACAAAAAATGTAATCTTCAAATAGTAGATCCACAAGCGTGAATTTTTATGAGCAGCAAAAGTTGGCCTAACTTGAAATTGCTTTACCATTGAAAAGTGACTATGAATAGAAAACAAGTATAAACATGGCACATGTGATATATCTTCGTTAACAATGTTCTACAGTAACTCACATTGGGCAATGCATTTCAATCTTTTTAAAGGTTTTTTTTGGTATGATTTACAAGTAAGTATTCAAATATGGCCTGGTTCCACATGCTTGGAAGCTGTCCCAAAAATGATGCTACATGTAGTTAATGTTTTGAATACCTACATTACATATACATTACAAACCATTGAAATTGACACCACTGTTTACTAGTAAAACAAAACACTCGCAGATCTTGATTTAAATTGGGTATTACCTGGTTTGTTAAAAAAAACCTAAATAGACAGGAGCATTTGTGAGATATTTTTGAATGCCAGCTGAGTTTTTTTATTATGGCAATTCACATTTCATTTAATTATGTAACACTTCTGGCACCAGACCAAAATATTAATAGCTTTCTAGCCTGTCAATGATCCTGGCCTCTTGTGTGCATGTAGTCTACGTACACATATTTTAGGGAAGCCGATTATAAACATATAATACAAGCATTATGCAGGTTTACTCTGCTCCGTACTTAATTCAGTCAACTCCCGTGAGTACACAATCCGCTGGACTTGACACAAATGTTCGTTGTATACGAACCTCGTATTATCCGATGCAGTGGTTTCCACACATTGCTAACTTATGTAGGCCCTTTTGTACACAGTATTTAGAAAGTATCAGTTTGTATCCCGTCTTGATCTTCTCCTCACACATAGATTCACTAAAGTGTCAACAAATGCAGTGATGAAAACAGAAAGAAGTATGTGCCACGCGTAGCTAGCGGTTAGTATACTGAGTGCCGATAGTTCATCACTTATCCAAGGATTGGGTCCAGTATGCCAGGGGTTGTACAGTACAAAACCTGTCTGGATAAACCACGTGCCCTGCAGGATGGTACAACTAATCCACACATACCTGAAGAAGGATGGGTGTGCCTCAGATGGTACGTCAACGAGAGCTTCCAACAGTGAGCCAACGGCGCATCCAGCTATGGCCAGCACCAAGAGAACATGCAGTCTCACGTCGACAGCCGAACGGCCGTGCAGATGGTAGTAAAACAGAAACCCTTCCACGGCGAATGCCGTGGCCTGAAATATTTTATCAAGTCCTGGCCGGAGCTTGAGGCATGTCACGGTGAGTAGCTCCACCAGTCCCGCCAGCCCGAAGAAGCTGTACATTGTGGCGTGTTGGTAATTGTTGAGGCTCCTGAATGAACCGCCACTTGAGATCTTCCAACCGCCCCACCACAGCTCCCCGATGGCAGCTGCCACCGTGGCGATGACTTTCACAACTCCTTCCATGAAGACAGGATTAAGCAGTGACTTCTTGAACTGGTGGCAGCGACTGGTGTATCTTGAGGGTCTGGAGTGAAAACACGGTCGAAGCAAGTTCCATATAGCAAGGACCATGAAGAAAACACCGGGGATAATATGACCTATAAAGGTGCCCATCCTGACAGGATTGGTCAACTAAATAATCCACCAAATTCTACTTAACCTCCTCCAGCCTTCGACGACAGTGCGACTGCACTCTATGCCAACTATGATTGTGAAAATGGCTGCTCTCTGAACAACACCATGCATTTACAAGTGAAAGACGTACGTTATGGCACTAGGCCTAAAAGGAAAAATTACATGCACCGTTCAAAGTGTCCTATTAAATATTAAACTGACAGCCAATTAATGAAATCATGTACTTTGGACTGACACACAGACTGCTTAAACACAGCACAGATGGACAGTGCCTGTCTATCGTCATTATCATATTGTTTACTCAACGAATACCTAATGCAGGCTTCCAGCTATATCCACTCACATTTAACTAATAGGGCTTCCAAAATTGTGGCCAAATTAGTTGTTTTCCTATAATTAAAGATTACGCGTGTTTTAGTCCACATAACGAGAATAATTTGTCGCTTCTTGCACAAAGGCCCATTCAAGTGATACAAAACCAGTGCCCACTAACTCAGCCTTAACGCACAAGGTCTATTAATTTTATCCTTTAGGCCTATATACTGTAGACGTTTATTCCACTGTTTCACGATTCCTGTATAAAATGACTGCCAGTGCCTGTATGGGTAACATATATATCCACAAATTGTTCTGGCACCTTGACTATCATAGAGTTTGTGCCTACCGGCTGCAAAAAGAAGGAAACCCCCTTTTGGCAGCAACTTTTTGACCTACTTGTTGAGCATATTTCAAAAATTCAATTTAATGATATTAAAATATTGATCTTTAAACATAAGTGACGAAAAAAAAGGATTGCAAATGCATATTTTGTCTCTGAGATATGGTAGTTTAAAAATGTCATGTGCCAAACCTGTTTGTGCCAAACCTTTGTCCGATTGATTGAGCTCCGGAGCTTGATTTGAAGGAAAAAACACTACACTAGACTTACACGTGAACAACAGTGACTTCGGTGACTTGAATTCAAATTAGCATAATAACACTATTCTTGCGATTTTTTAAAAGATATTTTCACCATGTATGGTTGAAGAGCTATACTTCACTACATTATAAAAAAAAAACACAGTTTAAATAAGTTAAGTAAGTAGGTTAAAATTCCTGTCAAAAGTGTGTTTCCTTCTTTTTGCACCACCCCGTATAGCGTTTGGGTTTATGCGAATGCATACATTAATGATTTTTTCCCAAAGAATAAACAGTTTAATACATTTCCCCTTGATGTATGACCAACCAAGACTTGAAAACATCTGTCACGTGCAATGCACACAAAGCGAGCTGCTTTATGTTCGACTTTTTTTCCAAGCGATTTTGGTTTTTGACGGTCCCAGAGGGCCAGCCTAATGTCTTCCTTTACCCATCTCAATGATCACTGACTGTCACTTGAGAGCCGAGCAGTGCTATCGTACAGGATTACCCCGTAACGCTAATAAATGGGCTAAATTCGGCCCATTATGTATGAAAAAAAACGTATGAATCAATCGATTAGAGATTTGTGCGCTCTGTGACCAGCTTTATTGTGGTTGACTTTTGTGTGTGGGTGGGTGTGTTTGTGTGGGTGTGACTACAAATTCGTATCCTTGCGGAGACACACACACAATAGGGAACAAAACATTGTAAAGGTCTCCACTACAGGGCAATTTCTATAGATGAATAGGTCTCCACAAGGTTTCACGAAATAGATATATGGGTTTTACTCAAAAACTAGGAATTTCCAAGGTGGGTTGATCCGTCGCAAATGGAAGAGTTTTAGAAAAGGGATATTAAGTCAAAATTTCAGCCAAGGAAACTAATTCTGGTTAAAATAAGAGCATTTTGAAACTTCACTTTCAAAATTGAACACTTTACTACACGAGAACAAAGGAATGTCTCCACAAGGATACAAATTTGAGAATGTGTGTGTGTGTGTGTGATAAAGCGCAGGGGGCCCAGGGAGAGCAACTGTGAACTGAGCCTTTTTATAACGGGAGCTGTTAAGATTTCTGTATAAACTAAATTGCCAAATATGATAACGTTCAATTTCATGTTATCGTGATTGTGATATTTCAGGTACATTGACCATTAACCTCTTCCCCAGCGTGCCGAGCAGTACGCACCCACCACTACCTGCTCTCTCACCCTGGTATTGGATCATTAAACTTTGCATGTGCAAGATTTGAACACGTATGCAAATGAGGACTAGTCTGATGCCTGTCTGTGCGTTACATTTGCGTTTGTTTTTGTATGCGGTGTCTGGGTAAAAACAATCAATTCGTCGCAGCGCGAGCACGGCACGAGTTACGAAAACATGATTTTATTTTTATTAAACTGTTACGATCTTAACGAGACAACATGCAGTATCACATTTCATATTAATATTAACAAGTTGGGAAAGGAAATGAATATTTTCAAGAAGGCGTGGACGAATGATCGCGAAAACAGGTACAGCACGTTGTGAATAAACAACACCAAGTACACGATATGAATCCATTACTATAAGTGCGGTATCGAATCAGGATACAGGGAGAAAGTTTCCTATCCAGGGCTTACTATTGGAAACGAGGTTGGAAATAAAGTAAGCACTGGGGAAGAGGTTAATAGACCCATGTCCCCTGGTTGTGACGTCACGACGACGGCCAATTGCTGATCAATTAAAACATTCAGCACCCGTTTGTGTGTTATTTTGGCCACATTAAACAGTGGGTCTTTTACACTATCTTAAATCTCCCTGTTGGACCAATATCCAAACAAATTTCAGGAACCCCTCTCACACTATAATTATAATTATATGGCAAGAATTCTTCACGGCTACTTCACGAGTCCAGCACCCTACACGGGTAAGCTCCAACCCTGGTCAAGCTCTAGGCGCTAGGCCTACACCCTGGTAGAAAATCCAAACTCTACAGCGACCCGTTTACAAGGGACCCGGTCCCATTGCAAGGTGGACCCGTGTTGTTATGGAGGCTCGAGGACGACAGTGTGAAAGGCTTTACCACTGCATCACTCCGCTATGAACATAATATCATCGAGAGTTCGAACCGCGCTCAGACAGTAATAACTGTTTTTTACCGGACCAGCCGCTAGCGCTGCGAATTAGCAGGAGATTAGGCTACGTGTAATTATTGTGACTTCATGGAGTTATTGTGCTGTTCAAATTGCAATCGCCATGCTCAGACAGGGGATACAGTCTTTTCCATGAACATAAGAACAAAGGAGGAAAATGTATTCTTTTGAGCTACGTTTGGTATGCGCGCTCCATAAACACTCAAGCCTATTATATACATATTCAGGGCGTTAACACAGCCCTGCTGGCGGCGAGCCAGGGCGTGGTGTGTTGGGTGTTGCACTTACGAAGGATAGACAAGATGGAGACGTCGTGGCTTTATACTGCTACTCCAAGTTTTCTCGTCGAGCGGCCTTGAATGTTAATGACCTCAAACATGTAATTTGACGACCGGAACACACGGAAGAAGGAAAAGGTACGCGTCACAGTCATGCATTCAAAGTAAGTAAAGCCATTAGATTTTGTGAAGTTGACGGCCAGCCATTATTTGTCTTCAGGCTAGCCCCATAAATGTGGCCAATTTACTGGACTACCTCCGTAAACATAGGCCACACTTCCACATGTACAAAAACGTGTCGCACTTTGTCAAATTTTGATTTTCACATTTAGGCTTAGTTTGTAGGTTTTTTTTGCTTTAGAAGCATACTCACCCTCTTTATAGGCTAATCAGAAAGTGCTGCCTTTTTCAGATGTCTATTTTTTGTGAAATTTTCAGATTCATTTGCACACCTTTGCGTATCAAAATTTCAACATGAAATTTCACAAAAATTAAACATCTGAAAAGGGACTGTTTAATAAAAAAAGTGACAGATGTTTACTTTGCACCTGGGAAAAACCCCGACCCAAATGTTTAGTGAGCCCTTACTTATTTAAAAAAAAAACCCAACATTTTCAACCTGACTATCTGTCCTTTAACTGTTGTTGTTGTTGCTGCGGTGCAAACATAATTACAAACCTGATTTCTATTTCGTTTGCAGATATCAATTGAAACTAATCAAAATGATATCCTTAATACGGAGACACGGGGACATCTTCCGGCAACTCAGAGGAATCGAATATGGTGAGTTTGGATTCTTCAGAAATTAATTGCACAGTATGTCCTAAAAAGTGTCCGTTTGCCTATTTAAAATAACTACAAAATCATGAGGTCAATTGAAATTGTTTGGTCTTGCTGATACTTCTACGCATTGGCCTCTACTCCTAGGCTTTGGGGAGTTTCATTTATTTCAGTTTTGCATTAGTGCTACGCAATGGTCAGTTGATCACAACAACATTTTTGGACAATGTGACCAAGTTCCTTTCCTTACCCAATCACAGTTCTGTGTTACGTAAGCTGTGTAAAATCCCTCATATTGTAAATTGGGCTTCAGCTGGGATTGGAATCATTTGCCTGGCTATCAGTCATTATGGCAAGAAGCAAGAAGTAATAATGCTCAAGGGCAAATGATTCCTATCCCCAACGACACCAGCCTTTTTTTCTCAGCATGCAGGATTTTACACAGCTTACGCAACACAGCAAATTGATTGATGCATGAACTTGGAATGTCAAATTGTTGCTGTGCTCAATTGACAATCGTGCAATGATGCGAGAAACTCATAGGGGTTGAGGCAAACATCTTCACAACCAAACAATTTCAAAATAGACATTGTGGATCTGAAGTCATTTTAAAAACAGTCATACGGACACGTTTTGGGGACATACTTTATATAGGGCCAACATGTAGAACAAATTTTACGTTTTTCGAAAGCTGCTGAGTAGGTCTACAACATGCGAAAACAAGCAAGTCTTGAGACCCAAAATTGCAAAACTTGTGGAGAAAATGCAAGGTGTAGTCACTGAATCGCGCTAGTTGCGTTTTGTGCAGTAAAACCCATAGCAAGGACTGACAGAGCCATACAACACCGCCTCTCTATATATCGATTAAAAGATACCTTAAAACAGGAAATTCTAGACAAACTCTGCGTTGTTCGAAAGCTGCTGGTTATAGGTCTACAACATGCAAAAACAAGCAAGTCTTAAGACCCAAGACTTGAGGAGAAAATGCAAGAAGTAGTCACTGGATCCAGCTAGTTGCGTTTTGTGCAGTAAATCCCATAGCAAGGCCTGTCAGAGCCATACAACACCGCCTCTCTGAAAGTCGATCA